CTCTTTCCTAAAAAAACCCTAAAAAGTCACAGATGGCTGTTATCATCATCGACCAACTGCTTTGTTTGACAAATCCACCCAAGCATTACTCTCACTGAAACAAGAAAAGTCCAGAATAGAAACAGGGTACCGATAAATGCCTTTTCAGTGAAACTGTCTTATTGTAAATGCTTTTCTAAAAGCCCTGGCTTCCTCCATCTCTATTCATCTGTATATCCATCGAGTTCTACACAGAGACCTCTCTGGGAAAACTTCCCATGGCTTCTGCTTGAAAGGATAAGTTTCCAACCCTTGGTTTTTATTTTTAAAAACTGGATGCTAAATTAACTCAGCAGAGGTCTATTGACATTGTGCACACTGCAGTCTCTCTGAGGCATCACCATCCTCGCTAGAGGGGATCTCACCCAGTTACCCTACAGCAAGATCTACATGCTCGCTACCCTGCAAGCAGCATCTGCTATTCTTCTCCGATTCCCATGTCGTTACCTGAAAATAGGACCAGAAGAAGCCACTTCAGGAAGAAGCAGAGTACCATGGTGGTGACAGAGGAGACCGAGGAGAAATGTCTTGTTCAAGTTTCCAAAGGGCACTTAAATTTGTTTCCAAAATGAACTTCGACTTTCACTTCCCCTCCGTCACACAGGAGGTGTCAGCTACATTTGGTCCAGCGCATAGTGCTCATATGTCTAATAAGGATCGACGTTTCCTGTATGAAGTCATCACTGCAGTTTATTTGGTCTTTACTGACAATTAGCTGTGGCTGAAAGAGTGCTGAGTGCTTCCACTCAAAATGCTAACTGCTGGGTGGTGTTTCAAGAGCCGTGATTAAAGCCTGCTTCACCGTCGCTTCTGAAACTGCACCGAACAGTCCCGAGTATGTGATGTGCTAACCTACGCTGGCTGCTGAACTCAGGTCAGTACTGCACTCACTGAAGCAAAACCTTAACGGCCAAGGAGCAATTGTTGCAAATATAGAAAAAACTTAGCTGAACTTAGCAAGCTAAATAAAGGAGCACAAAGAAAGTGTGACATGAACTTATTGCAGTATAAAAAAAACCCCAAACCCTGACAGAATATGACCAGGATGCAAACCTAAGAGCAGGTAACTTTTCAGAAATGTGAGAAACCAGATAGAACAACTGAAAGGGCTTCCCCCTCTTCGAATAGGCAGCATAAGCTGCAAACCATCGTGACCTCAAGTAATCATATTTTACCAGTTGCAGTTTCAATTCACACAGCCAGATGTGAAGGAAGTTTCTTTGCTTTCCTCTGGTCTGGTCAGGTCTTGCAAGCAGATGTTGCTGTTTTCTCAATCTCTTTTGACTGAAATCCAGTTTCGGTGACATTTCAGGTAAGTAACTAGAGGATCAGTGTATTGTAAAATCCTATCCAAAATAATGGCATTAGTGGCTTTCATCCCACAGAATTTACCGTAAAGACCAAGTCACCAATTTCTCACACGCCTCTGCCATGAATTTAAAGTTCCTAAAACTTACTGGACTGACTGCAAAGCACTCAAAAGAGTCGGGGTGTGAAACCCATGACCAACACCTCATGCTTTCAATGAGGCAATGTGAGTATCACAGACAATGAGGGTGGGAAGGTCACATCTAGTCCAACCCCCTGCTCAAGACCCAACTACATCATCCCAGCCAAAGCTTTGTCTACCGGGGTCTTGAAAACCTCCAAGGATGGAGACTGCACCACCTCTCTGGGTAACCTATTCCAGTGCTTCACCACCCTCCTCGGGAGAAAATTCATCCTAATACCCAACCTCAAGTTCCCTTGCTGCAACTGGAGCCCACTGCTCCTTGTTCTGTCATCTGTAGGCACACACCATTTGGTTTTGAAGCTTAAATGTCACGGATCCTAATGCTCATTAACAAACACACTTAGACTCTGGGGCTAGCTTAAACACGTGCTTTATACAGAAGGTGCAAAGTAATAGACTCCTCAGCTGAGGAACCTTTGTTCTGACAGTCTAACACCAGCATTGTCTCTAGACCCATTCAAACCATTGTTTAGCTTCAGCACAAAGCACGATTGTGACCATCCCCTCTCCTTGCAGCTGTGGCAAGGCAGGCAAGGACTGAATGAGCACAAAGGGATGCAGCTGACTACGGCAGGGTAGGTATGTGGCCGGCTGGTCTTTGCAAGCTTGCACGGCTAGTGCCCTGGGATATATTTTTGTGAGTAAAGGGTCTCTTTTGATTTCAACTGAAGTGAGTAGCAGGTTTCCCGTTGATTTCTGTGGGGAAAACATCACACTCAACAACTCATTCCAGGCAGTCTGTTGACTCAGAAACCATTTTATTTTCCTTGTGCAATACATTCTTTTTTTTTTTTTTTTTTTTTTTTTAGCTATAACTTGGTGTCACTGTAATGACATACCGAGCTCAAGCTAAAGGGAGTGAAGTTTTTTAAAAGTGCACATGCTTTACTGGATTTCCCCAGAACAAAATACACGATCAGAAAAATCTCAAAGGATTTTGAGGTCTGACTGGCATTTTCATCTGCTTGCAATGAATGTTAGATCCTTCCTTCTTCTGCCCGTGTATTTGTGGGGGACAAGTCATAGCAAGATGGGTAGTGCATCGGATTTCTGCAGCCTCAGTGGAGAGAAGTACTCAAATCTTCTTTTGTGGAGAAGGATGTGGATACTGAACCAAGATGACATCCTGAAACCTATGGTACCTCTACAGGACACGAAAAAATAGTCATGGGGTGTGTGGGCGTGCATGTGCACACGCATGGGGCATATCTATATATCTAGATCTATAGATACATACACACACACACACGTACGTTAGCTGTGGTTTTTGGAACATCCTACCTCCTGCAAATGCCAGTTCCTGTTCATAATGTGGTTCTGGGTGGCCTCTATGTTCTAGGTTTTTTTGACGGGAGGAGGAAGCACTTGACATGCGTTTCCAGAGTAATGTGTGCTTAGTCACACTGAACTGAGGGGAAAATAACGTAAGTGCTGTATGTATTCCAAGCCTGACCCTGCACCAAGTGCTGAGCCCTCTCTGCTTCTGTTGGCTCAACTGGGAGTTGAGGGACTTCAATGCCTTTTTGCAGACACTCAGCATCACCAGCCAAGGAGGCAGCTTTAAACCACAATGCAGTACAACTTCTGTTTCTTGAAATGCTCACAAGACTAAACACCTCAGCCATCACAGCTGCCATAGACTAGTCAAGCCCAGACCATCACCGTGCCCATGCATGCCTGCAGCACAGCAAGGGACAAAGCAAGGCAGAGACCAAGCTAGATATGAAAATGGACCAAAGCTGCTCACTTCCCAGTTGCTTAGTCACTGTGGCACTTGCTCATGTTCCACATAAGAAACAGATGTTTGCAGTCTGAGGTGAACAGCACTTACTCCTACATTACGTGAATGCGTTCTCAGAGCCAGGGGTCAGCTAAGCAGACAAACTGGTCAGCGCCTGTGAAGTCAGACTTGTTCCTTTGCTGAAACGATATTTCAAACTTTGGCTTTCAATTTGCTCACGACTTTGGCGCGCTTCTCTCCCTCCAGCTGGTTATGCTTTTTCTTGCTGGTGCCAAAGACACCCTACACATGGCCAGTGCAGAGGTTAGCACAGGAAGCAGCGTACTTTGTGCTAGTTTTGTACTTCCAGACCAGTGGTTTTCAACCTGTGGTCCGCTAATCCAAGGGCTTGCAGACTAACTAAAGGGTCTGAATTCACAGACTAAGGGGTCCTGATCGATCAAAAGTATGTGAATATACCCACATTTACCATTCAAAGGGGTCTGCACCTCCACTCACAATTTTTTAGGGGCCTGCAAATTAAAATACATTGACAGCTATTGCTCTAGGCAAATACCAGTGTTGCCTTCCCCACTTGTGGCCAGTCATTAAATTGCTGTATCATGCATCTTTGGATCCTACATGAGTTCAAGTCCACCAAGCCTGAGTAGTGTCCTGGCTTCTCAGATGCATTTGTGGGGTTCAGGCTCCCTAACTACCACCAGGCCATGGGATGTGAGACCCCCACAGGCCCAAGCCCCATGACCAGATTAGTATTGAACTTACTGAGTCTCCCCAGAGATTAGCACCTGGTCTGCCCAGAGCTGCATTCACATGGGTACTCCGGTTATAGTGTCACTCTGCAGGGATTATCTGGTAATTGAAGCAACCCCCATTTGTGTTCCAGTTAAGTGAGAACTCCCTCATCTCACCGGCAGCAAGCTCCCCTCTGACAATAGGTCACCCTAGCCAGAGAGATCCTTCCCTTGTCTTGTATGCACAAACTTGGCTCCGACCACGACGGTGGGACAAGTGCCACAACACTGGCTGAACTTCATGTGCTCTACTTCTACCTCAGTTCACAAGAGCCAGTAAAGCTGGTCAAAGTCAGTTGTTCTTGCAGCCACCTTGCTGACTCCTCTTGCCTCTGCAGCAGGAAAAAGATGCTCCTTCTTTACTCTTTCAACGCAGCCCTTCAAGCTCCCCACAGACTAGTTCGTACTTGCTCTCAGCAAAGGACACAGTAGATGGTTGTACACCAAGTGGGGAATCTAATCCACATAGCAGGTTTACAAGTCATAAATCTCACAAAATAAACTTAAAATCCTGTGCTGACTCGAGACTCATTCCCCAAACCTTCACACACACAGTTTGTGAGGACAGGCATGCTGCCCTTTAACTTATTGTATAAACATTTTCTCTTTGATGGATCCCATGTTCCAGGATGAACTGGACCTCTCCCTGTCCTGAGCTGCTAAATGAGACTGGGCTGCAGAGAGAAGAATAGAGACAAAACAGAAATGTCTTAAGAAAAACAGAGCAGGCCAGGCAGCTGAATCCACCAGGAAAATAAGAAGTATAGCGACACTTGCTAAACAGGAGTTATCATAACTGAGAATTTCTAGGCATTTCCTGTCTGAAAGTCTCTTGCTTGGCATTACAGAACTTCTTTCCCAGACTTGAAGGATACTGTGTGCCTGAAAACGTGCCTAACATCTCTGTCTCTAATTACAAAGCTTCTCAAATAAAAAATGTAGCCCAAAAAACTTTGCTTCTTGCTTATTTCCTGGACCACTGCAACTACAAGATACCTATTAACCAAATATACATAGTCCAACAAGTAATATAAATGGTTAGATTCATATTTTTTCCTTAACTGACCAATAGTAATGATTTGTTTAATAAATCTCTTCCCTTTCTGCCATTTTATTTGCTGTTTTCTCTGCCGATATAAAAAGGCAATTGCATGGAGTCTGAGATGCTGCAGGACTATCTGTCCAGAACTGATAGTTAGAAGAGGGAGAGCTAGACTGCCTTCTTACAACGACAAACAAAAGGGGTTTGTTCTTACCTTGCCAACTTCTTCCTCCTATGTCTGCAGTGTACGTACCCTGTAAATGATAAAAATAGGGTATAATATTTACTGGAATATATATTCTGAAAAGCAGTGACTACCAGGAAAAGCAGCAAGGGAGAGGATTAATAGGAAATGTTTAAAGGGTTTCAATTAGGAGGGGAAATTCACACCCACGGGTTATCCCCGTGAAAGTGCTGGTTGAGAGCCTCCAAGAGATAGTCCTGGCTGTAATTGCCCCAGATCTGAAGCTATTTGGGGCAATTACAGCCAGGACTCTCTCTTGGAGGCTCTCAACCAGCACTTTCACTGGGGTAACCCATGGGTGTGAATTCTCGCTCTTATGTTTAAAGGGTTTTAATTTCTATTCTTTAATGACCAGTGAGAGCTAGGATAGCAGAGTGTGAAAAGCTAACAGCAGCAGCTAAGGAAGTGAGTCAGGCAGTGTGGGAATGAGACAACTCCCCAGCTGCTGTTGATGACCAAGATCGTGGCCAAATTAGAGAAACAGAACTAATAAAGGTCCTTGCACTATCCTCTCTACAAATTACTCACATTCAAAGATACCCAGAGCCACAACTAGGATGACTAGAGCTGATGCACCAATGCCCATTCGAATGTATTCCCTTCTCTTACTGGAGTATGCCACCAATGAGGGAGGGAGTGAGGTAGATGCATTCTGTTGAAACAAAAACCAGAAGTGTATTAGCTGCAATGACTGAAATCATCTATGCATCTTGAAAATCACTCTGTCCTTGTTCAACTATGTAAGAGGTAAGGCACCCAGTCTGAGATACGGTCCTGTTTCCAATGAGTTGCTACATCTGGAAACTTAAACACAGACCTCTACGGTTTGTGATCCAAGTTTTAGGATACGAATTTCCAAGGACCCTGCTGAAGCTGGTATGATTTTTCCCTTGCTAAGATGGTAGGAGAATAACAGAATCAGTTCCTTAGGCTTTGTCAGTGAAGTGTTAGTCATCAGCACTATTTCTCAGGCAGACTAATTATGAATAGTTCTTTCTCAATCCAAAAACAGCACTGCAGAAAATGACCTGGAGGAACAACGGAGTCACCACTTAATTTGAACCATTTTACATTGATGCATTAAATGACAAGAGAGTTCTTTACATCTCTAGGAGTTGCTGATTCGGAGTTTGAGGCCATACTGGTTTGACACTGGAGTATGTTTTGTGGGCATATGAAGCTACTGGGCAAATAGAAAAAGCAAACAGAAAAATGTGAATAACAGCTCCTTCCTTCTTTGCATTCAGTCAGAATTTTAGTTGTAAAACATTCTATTTCCCCATAAGAAATACAACTAATTTACCAACCCCACTGCTCTGGATGTGCTTACTAGGAAGCTGCTGACAGTAGAAGGCCATGCTGATGTGACGGTAGAGAGGATTTCACTGGCAGCTGAAGCACCTGAGTAGAGAAAAGGTGAGCTGACATCACTTAGCACAGCTAACCATGCTTTCCTTCTTTACAGCCACATGACTCTTGCTTCTCTGATTATCTGACATGCCCTGATGAAAACAGATGGGTTTTAGATCAGGGAGCAAATGGTGCAAAAGTGCAACACGAAAGGAGTACTGCACAGCTTATGCAAACAAAGTCTCAAAATGGCCCAAAGCATATTTGTAGCATTTGAGCTGACTAAACTGGGAAACATTCAAAAAAGCCACATGTATCACATGTCAGTTTGATGTTGCTTCCCCAGATCAAAGCAATTTATAACATTTAAAATGCAGGGCTACAATCTCAAAGAAATACAACCATCTGTCCCCTTCTGAGGCTTCCTTCTTCACGGTCATGCCCATTGCAAAGAAAGCAGGCATGCGTATGCTCAAAATAAAAAATAGCCCATGAAGAGCAGAGGACCAAAAACTCATGAGTGCTGAAATGAAGGCTTGCCTCTCTGCAGCCAGAACAGGGATATAACACAGTGTGAGATAGCTTTCATTTCATTTTCTGTTTCCATCTGCAGAAACAGAGGATGTTGATTATGTCATGACACTATACTTCTCAAACTGACAAAACCCAGATCAATAAAAAACTGTGTATGCCGTCTCTGGTTTTAAGTTTGAAATGAAAATAATGAGAACGAGATGTCTTATAGACAAATTATCTTGACTGCCAGAAATTTTTGTAGCAAGGCCCGGCAGACACTTATAGACCTCCCCCAGCCCCTCTTATCCCCACCTACCTAATATCTTGAACATAAATCCCGTGGGAATCTATTTTATACCACAAACCTGAGCGTAAACAAGCATTTAAGGTCCAACAAAACACACACAAGCCTAGAACAAAATACTGACATGAATGAGTCAAGTTACTCCTGTGCTTATATGTTGGCAGCATAGCACCCTCTTTCCTCATTTCTACGTTGTAGTTACAGGCTTAGTTCTGATCACAAGAGTTTCGCATAATTCATCTACTGCATTGGTCCCATATGTTATGGTGTTGCCCTTTCTGAATCCCATTGCAAAGCAGTTTACAGACATTAAAGATGTGGAATCCTCTACTGATCATTACCTGAGGTGTCCTTGGAGCTGTGAGTTGAGAGGCCTGTAGTGGAGATTGTAATTGATGCTAAAGACCAAAACAAAACCCACACACATTACAACAGACATAAGCCAAATCATGGTAACTCAGTCACATTTCATTCTGCCCTGCTTTAGCTTTCCCGACCAAAGCACAGGAGTGGATAGACAAAAAGACTGCAGTCAAACAGGTGATGCATGATAAATTCTGCCCCCACCTCCAGCTCAGCATGATTTGTTCACCTAACCACAGGCTGTGTAGACCAACTGGGAGACCTAAACCTCTTCACACTCTGCAAGAGGAGGCTGAGAGGTGATCTCATGGCCACCTACAAACTCATTGGGGGAGCCAGAAAGAAACAGGGGATACAATGTTTACCAGGGCACCCGTTGGGGTAACTAGAAATAATGGCCACAAACTGGAAGAAAGCAAATTCAGATTGGACATCAGGAAAAAATTCTTTACGGTGAGGGTTGCCAAAATATGGAATATGCTTCCAAGGGAGGTGGTGCTGTTTCCTTCCTTGGAGGTGTTTAAAAAGAGAATGGACAGACATCTGACCCCAGCCCTCTTTCCTGCCCAGGGCAGGGAGTTGGATCTAACAGGTCCCTTCCGACCCTAACAACTATGAAACTAGAACCACATACAGGATGCGTCTACACGAGACACTTACTGCGCAGTAGCCTAATAACACTGCGCAGTAGCATGCCAGGCAAAACCCATGCTACTACACTACTGTGCAGTAAGCATCAATAAAAACCTGTGCGCTGGTGCTACTGCATAGTAACATGAGCACATTTAGTACTTATTCAAGTGCTAAACTTACTGTGCCATAACTATGGTGGATTAATGAACACGTAGACACGCCCATTGTGAATGCTTATAAGAGCTGTGTCTCATAGCACGCAGGAAGCAAAATCACCATCACTAAACATTGCCTCTTCCGGCATTACAGTGGCAAGCACAATTTCATCTAGGCAGGTACAGTTGTACCTCCAAAGTCCCTGCGATTCACATTGCAGAAAGTAATCCTAGTATTTCTGTCACAATCGGTGTGATGCTATCAGCTGCCAGGAGGGTGATCCTGCAGGACACTCGTACAAAGAAGAGCTGTGCTCACCTCTCTCAATCACAACGTCCACATTCGTTTTCTGATCATTAAACCACCCATGGATTTCCACACGGCAGCAGTACGTCCCTGTGTCTGCTTCCCTTGCTCTCCGGATGGTGAGGGACACGTCCCCTCTCAGCTGGTTCCCAGATAACTGGTATCTGTTGTCTTGCCGCTGTGTCACCCTCCTGCCGTCTGTCCAGAGAATTAGGTTTGAACACTGAGAATTAGGACAGGGCCCCCGGCCCCAGCACATCGTGGTCAGGTCGCTCTCTGTTCTGACACTGTAGTGGCAGGACAAAGTGACATCCTGACCCACCACGCCTTTCACTGGAGATCCTGAGACTGAGGAACCTGCAGACAAGGAGACAACTGGAGTTGAGAATGGGATAGGATAGTGTGGAGGTTATAAGGGAAACAGGCATGGACCAGTCTTCTAGAAGAGGGAATAACTAGAAGCAAATAATGATATAGAGTTTAGGGTTGAATTCCCTTTTGTTCAACAGTTGTGTTTAACATTACCTAGTGGGCAGATTTTTTTGAGCTACATCTACAAGGTGAGCCAAAGACTTGCATATCACTCGCATCCTGCTCGTTTATTAACTTTCATCTCATTTAAGAGAGGCGTACAGGATACAGGGTAGGGATTTATCCAGCACATTCAGTTGCACCTTCCTTGCAAACATTGTTTCAGGGCAAGAGGCTGGCTTAGTGACACCAAGCCTGTGAAAATGTACAGTTCTTTCTAGTAGTGCTAGGTTTCTCTTTCCTTGTTCATTTGGTGCATCAGTACATGCATCATGAAATAATACAACAGATAAAATGCAGAACTTACTTTAGAAGTGCTGTGGAAATCTCCCACAGACCCAGGAGTCACATTCCTGTGTTTCCTCTTAAGAGTTAGCTTTAACACACTCACCCACTCCACCTAGAGGTCACAACTACTACCCATTTCATATCAATTACAATAACGACACATTTTCTATGATTTTCTGCTGGTATGTTGTAGGGCATTTGCTAGTGCAAGCAAGCCTATCTTTGATTCACGGGCAGATAAAGTATAGACAAATTCAGCAATTGCTGCAACATCAAATGATACCGATGTAAACAACGCCACTTGTGTCAGCTATTTCTTTAGCAACATAAATGTAGCAAAAATGGTTTCAACTTAACCCTGATGGAAATAAAGTTACAGCAACTTAGCTAATTCATTGCACTTGATTAGCAGTTGCATTTATAACAGCCAATGTGAGCAGCAGCTCCTTCTTCCCTCTCTCAGAGTTTAAAGGCAGAGGCAAGGATTTTGGTGGTTGTTTTCTTTTAATGGACCAACAGGTGAATTTTTTCATATCCTTATCCTTGCTGAAGTCAGTGGATCTGCTAATAACCTTTCAGGTTACATTTAAAGGCTCACTTGTTTAATGAAAGCTGAAACAATAGAAAACAGTGGCCAAGGCACAGACCGACATGTAGAGGCTGAGCCACATTCACAAAGGGTTTGTACTGTGACAAAAGCCACAGTAACATATGAAATAATCTGTTCTGAAAATATACTGAATCGATACTTAGCAGTAACAAAATAGCTTTCAGTTTAATCTTTTATTTGAAATTAATAAAATGAATAACTTCCTAGATTGTATCTGACCGTTGTATTTTAGGCAGATTTTAGAGAACTGATGATTAAACACTGTCCATTATTTCCACATTTTTAGTTCTTCTGAGTAAATTTGGTTCTCTTTCAATATCAATTTTGAAAATGCATAATTTGCTCATGCCAGGAATGGAAAAAAGTTACGGTTTGGGTTGAAAAGCACTGAAGATCACAGCAAAAAACCTCTCTAATGGATGAGCATATTTGTTTTTAAAGAATGCACCAAAACATTAAATTGCATCCAAATAGGGAAAAATCCAGAATATAAATAGATGAATAAAGCTCTTATAAAAGAATGAATACAGTTCTAAATGACAGTTAAATACAGTTCGAAATGACATAGTTCTCAATCGTCTTTACCTAACAACTGTAGGCAGAAACATTACTTATAACTAAGATTTATAGACAACGCTGGTAAAAGCTCACATTTGAAACAGAGCCTTTCATTTATTTTTATGGAAAAAATATTTAATAGCCGTGATGGTAAATTGCAGATTCCATGACAAACTAGAACACTAACACGACTCCGCTTTCTAGAAGACACTGTATTTAGGCTATACTTAACTTCCCTGCAGTGAACTTGGGAAACTTAGGCATTAATTATAAACGCTCCACCCACTACTGGTCACTCTTACTTTCCTTTAGTTACCTGCAATTAGGAACGTTAGAATCCACTTCAGCGAGACGAAAGGACACAGGGTGACAACTGAAAGAAAGCAGAGAAATTCTATGTTCAGGCTTCACAAGAGAACGTTAAAAAAAAGCAAGTGTTCATTTCTTAGTTTTTTAAATGCCATTCCTTAATGGTGTCGTAATAGCGGTTACAACAGCACAGCCCGGTCATACTTACACCTGCTCCCAATTGAGGCTGACTTTTCCTGTAGCAAATTCATTGTTTCAATTGTCCTGACAAGTGCGGCGGGGGGAACAACCTACTGTTGACTGTGGTTCAGCTGTGAAGTACTAACTTCAATAAAAAACCTGTGGCTGAAAGAACGTACAAAGCCTGCTCTGTCTGAAGCAGAACTGAGACTTGAGGTTTGGTCTTATTTACGCTTGCAGCTAACCTCAGCATTTATGCCTAAATTTAATACAACTGAGCTTGATAGTTTAAGCAATTGAGGAAGTAGAAATGTGAACCTAATATGTGTCAATAAGAACTTGCTATACTGGCTTGTTATATTAAATGGTATTTAGGCAGCTTCCAAAAATGTTGTGGAATACCAAGTATGCTTGACTATTCTCAAAATATATTTCAAACAACTGAGAGACCTAGTTTGCTTAAGTCCCTTTGGAAATCCAACAGGATGCTTATGGGCATCTTTATGCACTTTTACATACCTTTGAAAATACAGCCCAAGTTTTATTTTCCCCAATCTAGAGTCAGGGAACAGAAGGAAGGGGCAGCTTTCCTTTGGTGCCTCTCTTCACAGGGTCAGTAACTGGCATAGCTCTTTTATAAAGGCAATCAAGACATCTTATGGTAAGCAATAAAAATTCACTCTCTCCCATTTACCTTTTATCCCAAAGAATTTTCAGTTCTATTACTTAACTGATGTAACTGGATTTTATAGTTAAATTAAGCCTCTGTCATGGATTTAAGATACTGAAACATTTGATTAGCCCTTAAATCAAGGGACCCTGTAAGAATCTGCACAAGTTAAAAACTTTTAATTTGAAAAGAGCTAATGACTGGGCTAAATCTGCCTGCCTTTATGCCAGGTTTGACTCTCTGCTTTCAGGTGCCTAAATGGTAAGCACCAAATGCTCTCCCTTTCAGGTATTTTCATTCTGCAAAGGTACATGCCAGTAATTAGCATGAAAGTAGATATTCCCTCCTTTACAGTAATAAGAAATATTTAGGGTTTGTGCTTTCAGGGGTTTTTGTGTATTTGAGAGACTAATGTTTGTTGCATCTTGGAAAATACAAGTACATTTTGGCACTGCCATTCTCTTCTATACAGATGTTATTGTAGGCTTACTTATGAGACAGTAGTCTAACATCAGTCCCCTGATAAATAAAATTTGTTAAGATGTTTTACAATGTGAGGGAAAAAAAGTGATTTTTGCAGCCACTATTAATAGATCCGACAGTAATCAGCTATTGTTTATAACAGAATATAACATTTAATAGAAGTTGTGGAAATGCAAGTAAAGTACCTTCAACGTTTTAGAAATGGGTCAGAATCTGGAGCATTCAGTAATTTCTCCATCTTTCCTCTGCTCCTACATTTTATAGAAATTCACAAGATACTTTCATCTTTCAATCAAAACTATTTATTCAGAAGTAAAACAAAGCCATCACATGAGCCTTACTTCACTGAACTGTTATGATGCACATTTTCCCCACCCATCAACAACATTATAGAAATTTTTACTTTTCTGTTCTTACGACCACATGCAAATAACATCTACAACACAAGCAAACTCCATCTGCTTGAACACCTGCAAAAAAACCCCAAAAACCCTACAAAAAAAGACTTGAGTTTAGACATTTATACATACACACACACTTAAGTTTCACGATTGTTTTTATTGGTACAGATAAAGGCAGCAAAAAGTACATTATACAAACTTCAATATTAATCCCACTTCTCACCCGCTACAAAGAGCGTCCTTTCATGTCATTTCATCAATAATGCTACACATCGCCGCATCTTTGTCTAAAACCTGATCTTTCTTACAGACCGAGCCCGCTCTCTGCTGTTCGTTCTGCCCGATGCAACTGCTGCCGTCATCCGTATCCATGGGTTCAGTTTTTATCCCCAAACCTCCCTCAGAATGAGGTAAGTCATCAGGCAAGGAGGCCAGGCAATTCTGGATCATTTCTACAACCCGCTCCAAATGCTTCTGAAACCTCTCGGCTGTCTCGAGACGCTGACGCTTCTGCACTTCCATCATGACCCGCAGCGTCTCTCTGGCCTGGTGCGGACGATACTCGTTTATAAGATGATGGACGTGAACAAAAAGCAGCTTCAAGTCTTCCAGTTTCTCCTCTCGTTTTATGCTGCCCGGACTCCTTATCAAGATATCCAAGAGGTCCAAGAAGTTGACCAGGATGGACATATTGAGTTTCCTGAGCTCCTTTTTGTGATCAAACTGCATGGGATGCAACCGTTCGATCCCTTGGGTTTCCAAGGGGCGGATAATAAGATCGTCGCATTGGAACTGGTTACCAAACATCATGTAGCTGTCTTTCACAGGCGGCGGGGGCTTCGGGGCCAGCCCCTTGCGAATGTTTTCATCTGTATATTCCTTTATATATTGCATCGGAGGTGGAGGCAGAGCGCTCACTTGCTGCGGTTCCCCCATGGTGGCAGAGAAGTGCCTGGGGTGTAAAAAACAGCCCGTAAAACACCGCTCAGACCAACTGGAAAAAAGGAGTTCACGACACAGGGACAAACCCGCCGACACCCCTGAGACCAAGCGGGATGTAACGCAACCGACAGGAAGTCAAATGCTCCAGGACGCGGGTCGTAGAGATTAACACAACCTTTCAGAGGTTGGAAGGAGGGGATATTTACTTCTCACACGCATGCACTTTTCTTACCCTGCTAGTTCTTTAAAGAAATGTCATTATTTACTTGTTTTTATTCTCGAAGAATTGGAAGAAACCAACAAACATAAATAATATGCATCGAGTGCGGGGGGGGGGACACGACACGCTGTTTGATGCACACACAGAGCTGGGCGAGCGCTCGCGTGGAAACCACCTCGCCCCGCTCTGTTTCTACGGGGGTTTATTAAACGGGCGGCAACCGTTGTTGGGACAAGTCATGCAAGAATAGGGACGGGGCGAGGCTGGGGGGCGGACGGACACACAGGATGCTGGTCAAACCAAGCCCTTGTGATCCCATAAGGGGGGATCGGGGGACACGTACACTGAGGGGAGCAGACCCGCTCAGAAGGAAGGCTACATTTGGGGGACCAACCCCCCCCTCCCAGCCAACATCTGGGAGATGAACCCCC